AATTACTCTCAGTCCAGAATTCAAAATAGTTATATATATATATATATATATATGTATTTTATTCTTAAACATTCCTTGAACTACTCAGAAGTTAAGTTTATGTTAATGTGATGAATGAGATTTAACCTTTTTAGGAGGAGGAAGATGTGATTGAAGATGATAGTACCAAAGATAATCAAGAACTCAGGAGAAGAAATATTGAAACAGAGCAAGCTGAGAAATGAAAATATTACTTCTTTATTTCCCTAATTCCATAATTGCCTTTCAGTAGGAAAAATGTGGGTCTGTTCCTGTCAGTTACTGAGAAATGATAGTGGACTGTGTACAACTTGACTCCCTGTATTTATGCAAAGGTTTATGTAATTGATTAGCAACAATTTATAGGAAATGTTTGTGTGATAATTGTTGCATAAGTATGTTTAGTGTATTCTGAAATGTTAAAATGATATTTGATTTATGGTGCTCTACTTATAAGCTAATTTTTGAATTTAAAATTGAAGTTTATACTTTCATGGCTTTGTATAGCAGAGAAAATATTCACAGGTGTTTGTGTGTGTATAGTCTATAAATAGGCTTCTTGCATCATTTTTGACATCACTACTGTGAGAGTTTTAATTGGAAACAAATTGAACATAGAATTATCAGTCTTGTTGAATTTGTTAGGTATTCTGTCAGTTTTGTAGATGATAACATACAAAAGCATTAAATTACATTGAAATCCAAAGTTGATATGTCCATTACAAATAAGTTTTAGGCATTAATGTAAAAATGTTTGATGGGTTAAAGTAGTAATGAAAACTTAGCCTTACACTTGTATCAGAGTGTGAAACACTGTGATGCACAAATGTTTTGTTTTCTTTACCACATTTGTCTGGTGTAGGGATAGTGATGAGGAGGGTATTCCTTAAACATGGTTTAATCTGGTGTAGGGATAGTGATGAGGAGGGTATTCCCCAAATGTGGTTTAGTCTGGTGTAGGGATAGTGATGAGGGGGGTATTCCCCAAATGTGGTTTAGTCTGGTGTAGGCATAATGATGAGGAGGGTATTCCCCAAACATGGTTTAATCTGGTGTAGGGATAATGATGAGGAGGGTATTCCCCTAAACCATGTTTGGGGAATACCCTCCTCATCACTGTCCTTACACCAGACTAAACCATGTTTAAGGAATACTCTCCTCATCACTGTCCCTACACCAGACTAAACCACGTTTGTGGAATACTCTCCTCATCACTGTCCCTACACCAGACTAAACTACGTTTGGGGAATATCCTCCTCATCATTATCCCTACACCAGACTAAAGAAATCAAACCCTATTTAAAGCAGTTTAGTGACTGCAAATTGTGCTTTCAGTGGGTTTTTTTGCTACCAGACATGTGCAGTGTTTTAATGTATTTAGCAATGAGTAAAATACATCAAATGCACTTCTAAATATGTAGCTTATAATTATTTTTCTTTTCATTAAAATATTATTCGACACTGGATGATGATATGTTATTGCATGTGTTAGAGCAAAATTATTATTGTAATCAAGATTTCTCTTCATTTCAAGCTACGGAATTTTGATCATTTTAAATAAAGTGAAAATCAATGAACACAATTAAGACTAATACTGGCTAGCAGTCCCTAAGGTATAATTTTGCTATTTTATATTTTGTTTACTATATTAGTCAAATCATGAGTGATCTCGCCTGAAACATAAGTTATTTGTAGTTTGAAATATGAAACAGTTAATATAAAGTTTGTAAATCTTTAATTTTAAGATTACTCAAAACATGTAAACATGTTTAAGAACTTTACCATTTTCATAAAAATGTGTAAAACTTTGTTTAGTTAGTTTTTGATAGGTTCATTAATTACATAGTTCTTTTACTTAAGAAAGCTTATTAATATCTAATGTAATCACAATATGAACATCTAATTAGTGTGCAACAGAAAATGTTATTACTGTATTTGAATGCTTCTATATGCATGTTTGATATTTTTGCATGATAAATTGATATGTACTTTACTTTTATCAGCTTCAACATTGAAGATATACACTATATAAAAACTATATTTATAGTTATTGTGTTTATTACAAAAATCAGTTATTGACTGTTACTAAGATCCTTCACAACCACTTGGAATTCATAAACAGTAATGGGATACATTCAAAGCTATATCACAACATTGAATAGGAAAATTATCAATTTGAGTTAAAAGATGTACCCTCCATAGTTTTATTTTCAATCTGTAACTGGGATCTTGGATCATTTCACTTTTCTTGTTCATGATTAGGGTAATAATGGTTATTTTAACATTCTAAACCAAATGTAACCAGTATGAAGTAAGAAAATGGTTAAATATGATATTTTCCAGTTAGTTAACTTTTTGTTAATACATTGCTATGGTTTCAAAACTTGACTTCATAGAACAAACACACATTGTGACACTGGGTGGCAAATTATTCAACACTCAATGGGGTAGTTGTTTCTCACAAGAGATTGAACTATTTATATCTTCTTATTGATTATATATTTAGTGTCAAGCATTTCAAAATATCTGAAGAAAGTTGTTTGAAAGAATGTTTGTTTATGAGGCAAAAAAGCCAAGATGTCATAATTCTGTTTTTATGCTTCCTGATGATTTAAATTGTGACATAATGAGGAATGATATTTTAATGTAATCACACAAGATTTGTGGTTGAATCACATGCTCTCTTACGTTTTATATACTGAGTTAAGAAATATTTTGAATGTTTATATATATATATATATAAGTGAACTGTTTTTGTTTTCTCTAATGCTTTTGTAAATATACATCTAGCATTCTTTGCTTCACTAACATGGTTAATTTGGAAATCACTGATAGGTATTTTCATCCAAAGTAAATTGACTTGAGCTGCATGCTTGTTTGTCATACTATTTGTATTTCATGATTAGTGGAAAAAGTTCTGTATTTTAGAAAGTCCACCAATGCTACTGAGAAGTAATTTGCACTGTAAGTGCATGTTACAATGCTGAAAAACTGAAATATATATTGACTTACTTTTTGGGTACATTTCTGTTGTGTGTCTTTTTAATTTCAAGAAAAAAAAATTATTTTACTGTAATTTGATATTGATGATATACCACAATATAACATAACATAGTATTTAAGGACAATGAGGAACTTGTTGGTCCACCTAAACTATCACAACCACTAAATTAAATTTAAAAAAAAGTCCCAAAACTAGCCTTTAGCAATCAAATTTTTATCAGCCTTTCCCTTAAATGTACTGCATACATCGCATACCTTCTAACACTTCAAGAAGAAATCATTTCAGAGATCTTAACTTGTCTTTCTATGAAAACCTTTCCATCCCAGGTATCATCCTAGTAGCTCTTCTCTGAACCCTTTCCAATAATTCAATGTCCTTTTTAAGGTAAGGACATCAAGACAACACAGTACTCCAAATGAGACCTAACCAGTGATCTATACAAAGACTTGTAACCTCTTTAGACTTGTATTCAATATTTCTGTAAATACAACCTAAAATACTATTTGCCCTAACACTAGTAACAGCACATTACTTGGATGGCATAAGAGACTGATCAACCAGAACACCAAGATCCTTTTTTTTTCATAACATTGTTAAGGCTATTTTCATAAAAGTTATACCAATAATTCAAATTATGATAACCCACATGCATTGTCTTGAATTATTATAATTAAAACCCATTTGCCATTTATTCGACAAACTCACCAAGTGATCTAAATCCTTTTGTAAGTCAGCAGCATTCCCCTTGCAGTGCGCAACACCCAAGAACTTAATGTCATCAGCAAATTTAAGTAATTTATTGACCATTTCTTCATCTATGTCATTAATGTAAGTCAAAACCAGTGAAGGACTTAAGACTGAGGTACCCTTCTTGTGACCTTTATCCAAGTTTGAAATATATGTTGGACATGCGCCACACACGCACAAGGTCCTCGGTTCGATCCCAAGCGAAAACATTTTAATCCAATTAGTTTGTATAAAATCCTATTTAAAAATGAAACTAGTTTCTAAATTCAAAAAGTCTAAAAAAATCCGGAATTAATATTGGAATAATTTTACTGTCTTATCAATAGACAATATGATTTAATACTTCGAATGCATGTTTGGATCTCTCTGTCATGTCTCGACTCTTTACATCTACACATCATCGACAACCACAACATCTTTGCACATCACCAACAGCCACTGAAAAAAAAAGACTTTCATCATGCCTCTTCCGACGTTCTTCACATCTTTCTCTCAAAAACTTCCCGTCAACGTTTCTAAACGCGATTATAGTCACTCTAGCTAATTATTTTCTCGCGTAGAGTTGAAGGGAAGAAACGTTCCCGAGCACCCCTGTTGGGAAGAGCAGGCAATTATCACGTTGTTTTATCTTCCTTCAAAGAAAATTACTTCCACGGTTAGTTTTTGTTGTTGTTTTTTTCATCCAGAGATTTTTCTATTCAATGATTCAACTTAACCTCCATACCTATTGAGATAATTTTTAACAAGTCTTCTATCTAATCTGTCGCTTCTAAAGTTGAGATGGCTAACACAGGCAGTCCTCGAATACCTTTGCTCGAATTTTAAGAAGCCTATTATATGGCACCGTGTCAAATGCTTTCTAAAAATCCAGATACAACAAATCCACACGCTTACCTTCATTTACATAAGCGATGACCTATTCAAAGAATGTCAAAATATTAGTAGAACACGATTTTTCCCTAGTAAAACTATTTTCGCTATCCTATGAAATTTTACTTCATTTTAAATAACTTTGGAATGCATTGTCATCAGACTTGCAAGAACTTTTCTTACCACTGATGTGAGAAAATAGGCCTATAAATACCTGGACATTTTTATCACCTCGCTTCAAAAGAGATTTTTCTGTAATTGAACAGTGCATATATTATAGGCATGTATATATATATATATATATATATATATGACTATAAAAACTACTACAGTAGTGGTGCTTGTCACCAGTGTTATAAATCTGCGTGAGTCCTGTTGCCTGTAGGTCAGTGTGTGAAAAATCTGCTTAAACAACTATGTTATAATGATGACGCAGTGAAACTGATTATTTAAACCTATATAAAACACTAATACAATGACGTTATTACTTTTAGAAGAGACACTAGTCACAAATTAAAACTTATTAATTGGACTTTTGTAATCGACATCAGTGTATATAATGTTTTCAGAGGTGAAACATCTTCCTCGTTTCTGTTTTTATAATTGTGTGTTGAGCAATATTAAAACGATAATACAATTAACTTAAATATGAACCTTGAAATTCAGCGGATCATTCCGTGTAAAGAATAAACTTATTGTTGTCATTCTCCCATGTGTTCAACAACTTAAGAATTTTATTCCATCGAAAGAAGCACACGAATTACACGTGACTAATAATACAGTTTCTATTGAAGCATCAAAATATGCTGGCAAATGACTGAAAAGGCTTGATTATTCATTGTTTAAATACCGTGTCTTCAACAACAAGAGAAAAAATCTGGATTGACATAGAGAAAGAAGGAATAAAAGCTCGTTGGGAAACCATAAATTGGAGTGTGATCACCTAAGGTTTATACATATCAAGACACACGGTAGTTTGTCGTGCGGCCAAAACAACCTGCAGGACACATTGTGCGTGTTATTAACAGGAGTGATAGTTTAGCGATTTTTCTCTCTCTGTAGCTCAGACTGTGGTGATCCAAACTATCATATATATTTCAGTGGGTGTTGCTACTGGACCCATACTTCACGTTCCAAATTTCATGGTAATCCGTTGAGAAATACACGAGATATAAAATCTCGAATTTTGATTGAATTCCTTCCTTTTCTTTTACCTGATTTTTTT